AAAAGAATGATGTGATGTATGCAATCTTTTGCTTCTGGTGTAATAGAGGGATATGCTTTTAATAAATATGTGAAATATTACCAATGTTGTGAATGCCTTGAAAATGAACTGGGAATAATTTTGGAGAAGTTGAAGATTGTTAAGTTAAAGCCAGTTATTTCAATATTTAAAATTTGATGTTTTACTGAAAGAATACAGAAAACTAGTGTAGATATCTGGCAGGCCCATGTTCAGTTAGTGTATTATATTCACCATCTCCATTATTTAGTTAAATATTAAGAATATTAGTAATATGAAAAATCCCTAGCCTTTTTGTAGACATGCACCTTGTACTTTGTGCTTGTATGGCCAAAGCAGGCATGCAGGTTTAATATGATATCTGGTACTTAGTATAAACAGAATCTAATGTTATATATAAATGTGTAGATGGTATTAAACCTGTAATTAAAAAATCCAATGGTACTACCATACCAGGTGGCAAACTTTTTACTGCTTTTATCGACCTAAAGTCAGCGTTTGACTCAGTCCCTAGGGGACTGTTGTGGTCAAAACTGCTCAAAAGTTCTATCGATAGACGTTTTCTGTTCCTAATTAGATCCTTGTACAACCAGACCTCTAGTCAGGTCAGGTGTGGTCTGCAGGGAGAACTTTCAAATCCTATCCCGATTAAGAACGGAGTAAGGCAGGGTTGTGTTCTGGCTCCTCTTTTGTTTAATTTATTCTTACCTGACTTGGCCTTTCACATTGGACGTATTGAGTCCCACGCCCCAAAGTTGTCAACTACGAAGATCCTGCTTCTCCTTTATGCTGGCGATGCGGCCCTCCTTTCATTGTCAAGGCCAGGTCTGAAAAGATTACTTTCTGCATTCGGGTCCTACTGTGCTGAGAACCACTTGTTTATTAATTACGACAAATCCAAAGTATTGGTGTTCTCTAGAGCCTGGAAATTGTATAACTGGGCTATCAATGGTAATGCTGTTAAGCAGGTTTTCCATTTTAAGTATTTAGGTATTCAATTTCAGAACTCCAGTGCTTGAACGAGACATCGAACCCAGGTGCTGAATTCGGCCTCCTGTAGTCACCAGCAGATTTTAAGATTTTTTTTATACCCAAGGAGGCCAGTTTATTCCTTCTGCTCTGTGTATTTACAAAGCCAAAACTTTGGCTCAAACTCTTTACGGAATTCCCATATGGATACGGGGCTTCAAGGATTGTATTGAAAAAACCCAGGCTGTCTTCCTCCTTGTGTTGGTTTTGCTCCGATGTACCTGGAACTGGGCACTCGATCAGTCGAATGTATGGCGTGGATTAACACCTTTAAATGGTGGTTTCGGGTGCTCTTTCTGGCAGTTCCTGGTAGCTACCTCTCCCTGGCGTTTTCTGACTCTCATATTTCTCTTTAGGAGAGGGAGCTGATGAAGAAATTACACCTGCTAGGTTTTACGGGGGATGCCCTGGGAGATTATGGCCTTAAGGACGCCCAATTTAGGGTAGTCCAACGGCTTGTGGACATTGACTTGCAATATCTACGAGCCAGAGCTAACAAAACTTGCTCCCCTCTGATCTTCAGCCAATTTAATAATTATGGACTGAGGATGGCTTCCTGTTTTTACACTCTAACCATTCCCAAGTATAGAAGAGCTTTCTCCCTAGCTCGCTTTAATGTTCTGCCCTCAGCACTACTGGATGGGCGATTTAAGAGGCTCCCGATTAACGAGCGGCTATGCCCCTGTGACAGAGCTGAGGTTGAAACTGGAGCATGTCCTTTTATATTCCCCTATGTATAACGCAGGCAGATCTAAGTTACTGTCTTTCCTTGAAACAGACCCTTCTAGACCCAATGTTAGTAATTTGTTCTTATATTGTCTAGGGGATGGCTCCTCATATATCACTTCTTTGGTTTCCAAATTTTTTTAAAGACCTGTAACCATCAGAGGAAAATGCTGTAATTCCCCTTAGTCAAGTTTTTGGTGACCAATTGTTCATGATTAATTTTCCCATGTTCTTCTTTTGTTGTACTTGTGTTTTGGTCTGTGACCGCAAATAAAGTATTATTATTATATAAAATCCAATGGAAATTCTGATCAAATCTGGACATACATTCATTCTGGATGATAAGATGCATTCATGCAAGGAAGAAAGACAAATACCTAGATCTGTTAGTCTATCAAAAACTAAAACGACAAGATCAAAATAGTAACCAGAGATTCAGCAGATTTAAAAAGTGGTAAGAACTGCAGTCCATACAGACCAGTACTCTCCATTTAATGCCACTCAAATAAATTTCTGGTCTGTGCTACATAAGAATTCTGGGAAATGCAAACCCAACTCAACAGGCTGCTGTAGAAGCTATGTGTGAGTGAACACACCATGGCATTTACTTGGAGCCTAACACACATTATTTGTGTTGTAACCCAGGCAGGTGTTCGATATTAGCTTTGCTGAGTTCTCTGAATTTATTTTATGGTAACTACTTACAGCACTGGCTTATACATCTGTAATTGGGGGGATGGGGGAAGAACCAATGCAATTGCGGAATGTAGTTTAGGAGAAATTCAGTAATTTTTAAAAAGGCAAATGAAGTCCCATTCTTTGACAATATTTTTGTTTTCATGTTTCAATTTCTCCCTTCTTTATATTTCTTGATAAGAATAGTAAACACAACTAAGATGTGAATTGAAACACATTAAACTCAAAGGGGTTTACTTTTTATTAACCTTCATCTGAATAAACAATATATTTTATAAATCAGGCACGGATGTTACTTTGAACTTTAGAACTATTGTTTTTCTATTATTAAATGTCTATACCACCCATCTCATCTAAATGACCCTGGATGGTTTACAAACCCCATAATAAAATGATATAAAACATGACTAAAACCACAATTAAAAACTAGGTTATAAAATTATATTCTTATGTTACAATACACAGTAAAATTAATACATTTAGAATAAACATAGACTTAATGTAGACTGCACAGACTTTCAAAACCGAGGGTGTTAAATGTGTTAAAAGTATGGGAAACTTGCTACATTTTGGCTGAGTAACTTTATTAATATAAATACATTCTACTGGAACTACCATCTGTATCTGAACATGTAAGAAAGCACTCACAGACATGCGATGCGAACAATTGGGTATAACTTCTTGAGCATCTACTGAAATATGCATGTATTTAATATACATGATGATTATAGAACTAGACCAGTGATGGCTAACCTTTTCAGCTTGTGTGTGTCGAAAATCGGGAAAAAAGTGTAGCCTTCCTCGGGTCGTGTGTCAATTCAAGAAATATCAATAATTTGGTTTATGACGGACTGGGCTGGGGTGATCACACAGGGCTGTGAAACTCGTCTCCCTGGTCTCAGGGCTGCAGGTGCAGGATGTGGGGATCGGAAGGCCACCTTACAGGGCTGTGAACCTCATGGATCTCCTTTCCTCCTGTAGCGTTCCTGAGGTAATGAAACTGACAAACCTCAGTTTATGGCGGTTAAAACTGGTTCTCTGCTGCAAAGATCTTGCGGCAGCGGTGACACCACGCCTCCACGCAACAAGCAGGGAGCAGGGATTGGAGCAGAGCACAGGCAGCCTCTAAATGTGCAGGTTTTCCCCACACCAACAGGCGTGTCAGTCAAAGTGCCTCGGCGTGTCACGAGTGACACGCGTGTCATAGGTTAGCCATCACTGAACTATACTCTAGTGGACTCCATTTCCTGACCTGCTTTTGTTCTCCACTTTCATTCCACAACTGACTAAAAAATTTAAATGATATATCTGAGAGAACAACTGTTCCCATGTTATAACTCTCTCTTTCCGGGGGCCAGTTAGGGAACTTTGGTTCTGTATTGATAGTAGATTAGCTGTGTATGTGATGATTTCTGTTGAGCGGGATTATCCCATTGTCACATAGCTGCTAAAGCACAATAGAAATCAAGGACTCCACCATGTGTTCATATTTGTTTGATGGGTAGGCTGAAAGTGGCTGAGTGGATCAAATAACCAGTGAGTCTCTATGCCTGAAGATAGGCTGAAATCTGAATCTTGCAAGTTGCGATCCAATGCACTATACTAACTGTGCAACATTGCTTCACATGTAGCATCCTATTATACATTCCTTATATTATAGTTTAGTTATACGCATATGGCCAGTGGGAAAAGTGTTCACCATTTTCTTTGAGTTTTGTTATGTAGATAAAAGCTGACCTGCTTAGGAACCTACCAAATTGCTTAAACAGAAATATTACTTGCCTCAGCTTACTTCAGATGAAATATTTTATGGCTATTGGTGAAACTACAGTATGTTTGTAAAGTCACGTTTAGAAACTAAAAATGTCTTTCATTTTAATTTTATTTCAAATTAGAAAAATATTATACATGTCCTGTTGGTATACAGACCTATCATACAGTTGAAAATAGTCTTCTTTCCAAATGTTGTTCAAAGAATATGTATGGGATGAGTATAATATAAGGAATGTGTAATAGAAGGCAGATATGTAACAATATCATTTGGCAAAATGGAAGATACAGCTATTTTTGAAAAGTTCTAAATTGTTAAGTGATAATTCATGTGTGGAGAGTTTTGTACAGCATATCAGAAAAGAGAAATAGAGAAAATAATGTGTCCAAAAAAGTATGTCTAGGCATATCCAACATGATCTCAAGGGAATGTAGACTATAGAAAAATGGTATATGTCACTTTTATGGCACTGTGTTGCTTTTCTCACATTGCACTTTTCTAAAAAGAGGTGGTGAAGACACCACCTTTCTTTCTTTCTTTCTTTCTTTCTTTCTTTCTTTCTTTCTTTCTTTCTTTCTTTCTTTCTTTCTTTCTTTCTTTCTTTCTTTCTTTCTCTTTCTTTTCTTTTCTTTCTTTTTCTTTCTTTCTTTCTTTCTCTTTCTCTCTCCCTGTCTCTCTCTCTCTCTTTCTTTTTTTCTGACATCTTTTTTTTCCTGAAAATAATGTTTATACTTTTTATTTCAAAATCTAAGGTTCAGGTGTAACAGTCTAGATGTCCTTACTTCTGAATATATAGGGAATATTCTTTATACTTAGAGTTGCTGATGTTATATCATTCCCCTGCCGCAAAAAAATCCATCCTACCAATTCTACCTTGCAACACCTCCAGTTTAGTGGGAAAAAGTTGTTTCAAATTCTAATGTCTTTTCTGTTTTGAACCTAGTGGGTCCTATTGTTGTATCTCCCTATCTAAAGTTATCTTAACTTTACGGATTCAACTAAAGCAATTATTTGTCTTCTGTTAGATTATTTGAGACTCAAAAAGTATTATTGCTCTATTACTTTTTCTTTCCAAGGTTCTCGCAAAGTAGCATTTACTCTGTATGTTGGTACTTGAAGCACAACTCCAAATTTACCCTCTGGTTCAGGCAGTGTATCTCCCTCAGGAACAGTGAGGGAGAATTTTTGCAAGATCCAGGCTATAAAGAGAAACAGCTCCATCTTGGCCAGGGTTTCTCCCAGGCAAACACGGACACCAGCCCCAAAGGGGAGGAAACTGGGTGAGGGAGAGTAGATCCGGTTTCCATCCTTATCCAGAAAACGATCTGTGAGGCAAGAGTACAAACATTTTCTAGAAAACATGGCAAACTCAATAATGAAGAACAGAAGTAGTTGGCTAAAGTATCTATATAGATCATCCCAAAATTTATAATTGAATAAAGATTCTCCCAGGTATTCAAAATACTGCATTACATTACCATTTATGTGGTGGCAGTCTAGGGAAAAGAAATGTATATATACTGTAGTAGTTGTAATTGTAGCAAGGAAGGGTCATATTGGAGGAAAAAATACTGATGAGCAGGAACCTGAAGAAAATGTGGCAGTGGGTAGAAAGGTTCTTATATTAAAAAGGTAATATGAATTATATGTTAAAAAAGCAGCCCTTCATGACAATTTTAATGGCAAGTCCTAGTCATCCTTATACACACAGAATAAGAATAGTGGTACACCCACCTGGGATAAATTTCCCTGGCTCTTCCCACTCTTTCTCATCATGGTGAATGGACCACAGGTTGATTACAACTTCAGTTCCCTTGGGGATATGATATTCCCCAATGCTGCAGAGGAAAAAAACCATTTTCTTCAGTGAAAGTCCTCTTCCCCATCAACTCCCACTATTGGAAATGATCCTCCTCACCTTGTATCTGCCAGTGCCTCATGAGGGATAAGAAGTGGTGCAACCGGGCGAATACGCAGAACTTCACTAATGGTAGCCTCCAGATAATTCAAATGCTGTCGGTCAGCAAGTACAGGATGTCTATTAAAACCAATTTTCTGATCCAATTCCTCTTGGATCTTCTGTTGTACCTGGAGAAATGAGGAAGGAATCCAGCAGGTTAGTTCATGACAGCTGTGGAGGAATTGCCTTGAGACCTAGACAATGGGTTCAACAATGGGAAGAAATCGGATTGAGTATTTTTAATGAAAATGGAAATCATAAAACTCTGGAAAACGAAAATACTATTTTGATTCTAAAACATTGTTTTTAATCAGGACCAGAGAGTGCCTTGCTTGATGATGAGTGTCATCATCATCTTCTTTTAATGATCCCATAATCCCTTGCAGAGTGTGGGCAACTGAATGGAGCTGAGTGTTTACTGGCCAGATGCCCTTCCTGTTGCCAATGTGGAGTTATATTCAGCAGATATATTCTCAACGTGCCCAGAGAGAGAAATATCTGCCTCCACCTAGGATCAAACTCACAGCCTCCTGATTGTGAGGTGAGAGCTCCACCTCTAGGCCACCACACCACACAGAGCCTTGCTTAGCATGCCTCAAGGTAAATATCTCCACACTGGATTATTTAATTCATTTTAGACGGAGTTTCCCCTGAATTAAATCTAGAAACTTCAGGCGGTGCAAAATGTAGCAGAACGGGTGATCTAGGCCAGAGGTCTCCAAACTTGACAACTTTAAGACTTGTGGACTTCAACTCCCAGAATTCTCCTGCCAGCATAGCTAGTTGGAGAATTCTGGGAGTTGAAGTCCACAAGTCTTAAAGCTGCCAAGTTTAGAGACCTCTGATCTAGGCTTCCCAAAGTGCTGTTTTATCAGCCTGAATAGCAGGAGTTCCACTGGATTTCTGTGATCTTTAGGATCAGTTTCAAGGTTTTATTAACCCTATATCAAATCTTTTATAGTGGGAGACCACCATATCTTATTGATGGTCTTATGCCCATTTCCTTTCCCTGCAAACTCAAATGCATGAGGGAGGTGCTTATATTTTAGTATCAACCCTGCTTATATTTTAGTATCAACTCTGTTTTGGTTATTGCATGATTCATTTACATTGCGAAGCGCTTAGATGCATGTGTGGTTGAATGTTTTAGAAAAATATGACTGAGCCCTACCCACAGCACGGAGTTCAGTCCTGAAAGGACTCAAGATTGCCTTCCATCCTTCTGAGGTCAGTAAAATAAGGACCCAGATTGTTGGGGGCAATACGATTCTACACTATAAACCAACCAGAGAGTATTGTAAAGCACTATAAGGCGATATATAAGTCTAAGTGCTATTGCTATTGGTATAAAAATATGCCTAAATAAAATAAAGGAATTCCATTAATGACCCTTGCTAATGCCAATGTCTAGATGTGATGGAAAGAATCAGTTTCTTTTAATTAAGGATCTCAGATGAAGAACTCTTAATGTAGACATCTGTTTCTTTTGTTCCCATTACCCATAGTCAATACAATTCTTTCAGGGATCATAGGCAGGATCTACCTCTGGGTAATATAGGAGATAGAGCACAATCCATTTCAATACAGTTGTTGTAGTCTCTACACCAGCTCCAAAGATATCAGCCACTGTCATGAGTAGGTAGTCATCTGTTAGTTCTTGTTCACAAAATAGATGTTTATTGTTGTTCTCCATGTTCAATTTGGCCCTCAGAAGTGCATCCATTAGATCATTAACAGAATCACTTCTGAAAGCTTCCTGGAAGGAAAAAATGAGAATTGACAGTGATGATGATTAAAGGACACCACCAGGAAAATTACTTAGTGGATTTGCCTGCATGCAGTAGAGCATTTCCAATATGTATTTGTATGTTGAATTTTTATCACACGTTTCTTCCAAGAGCTCAAGAGAGCATACATAGCACATTATTTGTGGGGCAAAGCAGTGGCTTCTCTTGCCTGCTCCCCATCTCAGCCAGCATTGGCTTCTTCCTTTCTTTGTCCAAGAGAAACTCTTGAGCAGTGTGGTTACTCAGGGGAGAGAAAAGAGTTCAATCCAACCCAGCATTGTGTCTGCTTATTTGCATAACTCCACCTACTATTTCTATAAATGATTTAATTTCCACAATCTCTGCCATCTTATAAAGCTAAAACACTCATGGTATATTAAAATTGCTTAAAAGATGAGATTGAGAAAAGAGACTGATTGGTCAAAATTTATGCTGTGAACATAATTCGTTTACATTTACAAAACAGCCAATATCTTAATTATATGAAGAACATAAGAGTTGATATTGAATGAAAAATGTGGAATATAAATGGTTCAAATAAATAAAATGTTTAATGTTTCTCTTTGGCATTACTGGGAACAGAGCTGAGGCCACATGATAACTTTGATGCTACTAATAAAATCTAGTTTTTGTGATCCACTATTATAAGGGGTAGTATGATTAGCCTAAAATCTTCTGAGTGTAGACACTTACTTTATGTTTCTCAAACTTCTGGTGTAAGAGCTTGTCCCTCATATCAACACATTTCTTCAGCAAAGCCAAATCTTTATTTGGGAAATACTGTGGTGGGCAGAGAAACAGCCATAATCACAATCTCTATATTAATTGCAAATCTCTCTCTCTCTCTCTCTCTCTCTCTCTCTCTCTCTCTCTCTCTCT